ACTCTAAAATTTGGAGAGTAAATAAAGAGCAACGCTCAAAAACAGGGGCATTCCAGTCAGAAAACAATCAGGGCCAGCTGACACCCCCCAACAAAGGATTTCCCCAGGCAGCAACAAGCCAGGCTTTGAAGCTGCAAGGCCATTCAATGTTAATCAACGTGGCCAATGGCAACATTCACACGTGCCTCAAGCAGACAAGAGTTCTTTCTCCTACCTTGGGCATCATTTAAAACCTGACTTGCCTAGTTTACAACAGACCTTGAGGTTGCCTGCAATAAATGTGGGTGAAATATCAGGAGAGAATGCTTCTGGAACATGACCAGAAAGTCCAGAAAACTCTCAGCAATCTAGTGAATGATAGTGTTTTGCACATTAGGAGTCCTTGGTTTGAATCCTCAATCAGCATGGAAACCCATTGCTTTGCCTTGCAAAAAGGAATTGATAATGTGTGGATTAGGAGACCTGGGTTTGAATTCCCAACCAGCATGGAAACCCATTGCACTGCCTTGAAAAAGTTAGCTTTAAAAGCTAGTACCTTATAGTGGTTTGCACATTGGGAGACCTGGGTTCAAATCCCCAATATGCATGGAAACCCACTACATTGCCTTGCAAAAGTTAGCTTAGAAAACCAGTGCAGTATTTTGTGCTTTGGGAGACCTGGGTTCAAATCCCTAATAAGCCAATTTGATTTGAATATTAGACTGTAAGTGTAAACATTGCTCTCATAACTCTGAATCCCTGGAAACCCAGAGGCACACTCTCTCAGCTTCAGAGGGAGGCTACAGGCAAACCTGCTCTGAACAAATCACACTCAGGAATAGGTTTTCCTTAAGTTGGGAATGCCTTGAAAGCACGCAACGACAAACAAGATAACCCATCTGCGGATGGATTTCCTTGGCCAGCCAAGTCTCCATGGGCGAATGCAGTGTTTATAGTCACTTATTAGCTCAGCAGAAAGAAAACAGGAGTAGGAACACTTGCAAATTAAAGGTGTGCGACCCGTGAAGACCTCAGAGGAGGTGGGAGGGCACCCAATTAATTTCAAAACGTGGGAAAGATTTCTTGTGCTTTCATGAGAATACAGCCCAAAGTGCCCAAAGCGCTCTGGGAAATGGTGGAGTCTTTTCTTGCAAATCATGCATCACTATCTGCATATCAAAACTACTGGTTCAAGTTCAAGATGCTGAACAAAAGCAACAAACGCTTCCTCTGTTGCATGGTTTTTCACTAGAATAGAGTCTCGCTTATCTGACATAAACAGGCCGGCAGAACGTCAGATAAACAAAAATGTCGGATAATATGGAGTCTCCTACTGTTACTTGTCTGACGCAGCGCTAGATTAGACCACACCTGGAATATTGCGTCCAATTCTGGGCACCACAATTCAAGAGAGATATTGACAAGCTGGAATGTGTTCAGATGAGGGCGACTAAAATGATCAAGGGTCTGGAGAACAAGCCCTATGAGGAGCTGCTTAAGGAGCTGGGCATGTTTAGCCTGAAGAAGAGAAGGCTGAGAGGAGATATGATAGCCATGTATAAATATGTGAGAGGAAGCCACAGGGAGGAGGGAGCAAGCTTGTTTTCTGCTTCCTTGGAGACTAGGACGCAGAACAATGGCTTCAAACTACAAGAGAAGAGATTCCCTCTGAACATGAGGAAGAACTTCCTGACTGTGAGAGCCTTCAGCAGTGGAACTCTCTGCCCCGGAGTGTGGTGGAGGCTCCTTCTTTGGAAGCTTTTAAACAGAGGCTGGATGGCCATCTGTCAGGGGTGATTTGAATGCAATATTCCTGCTTCTTGGCAGGGGTTGGACTGGATGGCCCATGAGGTCTCTTCCAACTCTAGGATTCTATGATTCTATGCCTGGAATACTAACAACAGGGACTCAAAGGATTAAGGCAAGGCAATGCCTTGGGGCTGGAGATGCCCAGCAGGAAGTGCCAGGATGCAGAAGAGGAGTGTAGAAATCACAGAGGGAAGAAGGGAGGATACTTCCACTTCCAGTCCTGCCTCTTTTTCCCCTTTCCTCCCTCCTCCTCCTCCTCCTCCTTATCTTGCCTTTTTCACTTATTGGGAATGGAGCGAGAGTTGGGGAGCACTCCTTTAATTGAAGGGGAAATGCTGGAGGAAAAGGGGGGCTTTGAATAAGAGCGTCGGAAGGTTGGATATGCAAAGATCAGATAAGCGAGACTCAACTGTATTTCCAATTCATTCCTGTCCCACAATTGTTGCACTCTGGACTGTGCTCTTACCTACAAGAAGCACTGCCTGAACATCAAGCAAAAAGTGGGTGCTAGAAACAATATCATACGAAAGCTGACTGGCACAACCTGGGGATCACAACCAGACACAGTGAAGACATCTGCCCTTGCGCTATGCTACTCTGCTGCTGAGTATGCATGCCCAGTGTGGAACACATCTCACCACACTAAAACAGTGGATGTGGCTCTTAATGAGACATGCCTCATTATCACGGGGTGTCTGCGCCCTACACCACTGGAGAAATTACACTGCTTAGCCGGTATTGCACCACCTGGCATCCGCCGGGAAGTAGCAGCCAATAGTGAAAGGACCAAGGCAGAGACATCTCCAGCTCATCCCCTGTTTGGGTATCAGCCAGCACATCAACGACTTAAATCTAGAAATAGTTTTCTAAGATCTACAGACACTCGCTGGAACACCTCAGCAAGCGAGAGTCCAAAAGTGGCAGGCTCAAACCCAGAACCTCAACCAATGGCTGATACCAAATGAGAGACTCCCCCCTGGGCACACAGAAGACTGGGCGACTTGGAAGGCGCTGAACAGACTGCGCTCTGGCACCACAAGATGCAGAGCCAACTTTAAGAAATGAGGCTACAAAGTGGAATCCTCGACATGCAAGTGTGGAGAGGAGCAAACCACTGACCACCTGCTGCAATGCAACCTGAGCCCTGCCACATGCACAATGGAGGACCTTCTTGCAGCAACACCAGAGGCACTCCAAGAGGCCAGATTCTGGTCAAAGGACATTTAATCAACTACCAAACTCACAATTTTTTTATTTTGTCTGTTTGTTTGCTTTGTTCTGTTAGAAATGTAATATAATTGACTTGTTGCCCTGACACGACAAATAAAATGCAGCTATAAGGATGCCGTGTGATTTTTGCAATGAGCTAGACTCGCAGACATCTTTATTGCTTCCTGTTGACCAATCATGAAGTGTAAATACAGAAAAATAAGTGGCCTTGCATGCTATAACCAACAGAAAGCATGGCCAGAGAAATGAGGTACCGTTAAAACAGGGGTCCTCAAACTATGGCCCAGGGGCCGATACAGCCCTCCAAGGGCATTTACCCGGCCCTCGCTCAGGGGTCAACTTAAGTCTGAAACAACTTGAAAGCACACAACAACAACAACAATAACAATCCGATCTCATCAGCCAAAAGCAGGCCCACACTTCCCATTGAAATACTAACAAGTTTATATTTGTTAACATTGTCCATCATTTAAACCACTGAGCTGCTAAGCTTGTTGACCGGAAGGTCGCAGGCTCGAATCCAGGGAGCGGCGTGAGCTTCTGCTGTCAGCTCCAGCTTCTGCCAACCTAGCAGTTCAAAAATGTGCAAAATGTGAGTAGATCAATAGGTACCGCTCTGGCGGGAAGGTAATGGTGCTCCATGCAGTCATGTCGGCCACATGACCTTGGAGGTGTCTACAGGCAACGCTGGTTCTTCAGCTTAGAAATGGAGATGAGCACCAGAGTCCCAGAGTCGGACACGACTGGACGTAATGTCAGGGGAAAACCTTTACCTTTACCTTATTGTTTTAAAGTGTTTTTTGTACTATAATTAAGATATGTGCAGTGTACATAGGAATTCATTAGTTTTTTTTTTTCAAATTATAATCTGGCCCCCCAACAATTTGAGAGACTGTGACTTGGCCCTCTGTTCAAAAAGTTTGAGGACCCTTTCTGTAAATAAATAAACATCTGACTTACAAATGACTCCAAATTAAGAATGGGGTATCTGGCCACTTGGAGTGCCCCTGGTGTTGCTGCAAGAAGGTCCTCCATCGTGCATGTGGCAGGGCTCAGGTTGCATTGCAACAGGTGGTCAGTGGTTTGCTCTTCTCCGCACTCACATGTCGTGGATTCCACTTCATAGCCCCATTTCTTATGATTGGCTCTGCATCTCGTGGTGCCAGAGCACAGTCTGTTCAGCGCCTTCCAAGTCGCCCAGTTTTCTGTGTGCCCAGGGGGGAGTCTCTCATCTGGTATTGCCCACGGATTGAGGTGCTGGGTTTGAGCCTGCCACTTTTGAACTCTCGCTTGCTGAGGTGTTCCAGCGAGTGTCTCTGTAGATCTAAGAAAACTATTTCTCGATTTAAGTCGTTGGCGTGCTGGCTGATACCCAACCAGGGGATGAGCTGGAGATGTCACTGCCTTGGTCCTTCCACTATTGGCTGCTACTTCC